CACACCAACCCTCAGCCATGAAATGCACAGGGCCCTATAGATTGTTCCCAAAGCCCAGGAGCTGAGCCAAAGTCCCCAGGTGTAAGGACTTAGAGGATGAGGCTGCTCCTGGGTCCTTTCTCCAGGGTCCTTAGGCAGCACCGGGTTGCTCGAGGGTCTCTCTCTCTCATCAGGCCATTTCTACCAGAGGGTCACTCTGGTATGGAGAAGTCCTTCCTGCCAAATCTGCCCCTCCTTGAAAACAAGTCCCACAATCCCTGGCCAATTGGCACACATGCACTACCTCCTCCTCCCACCGCCCCTCCGCAAGTCAAAGCCAACCATCAGCCCCTATGAAGTCTTCTCTTCCATGGGCTGAACTACTGATGAGCATTTAAATGCATTCACATTGCAACAACATCAAGATGTGGCCTTTGGGATATGATTTAAGTCATAGGCCTCCACTCTCACAAACAGGGCTGGCATCTTATGAAAGGGCTCTCTTGCCTTCCGTTCCTTCTCCTGAGTAAGAACCCTGCGTTCTTCCTTTCAGGACACTGAACCTGTGGGCACACTGCTTGGACTCCCAGCCTTCTTAACTATGAATACTTTTCTGTTCTTTATAAATTACCAAGTCTTGGGTATTTTGTTACAGTAGCCCAAATGGTCTAAGAAACTGACAATAATAAAAGTACATTTTACAAGGCCACCCAGATTCATTTGTGTGCGAGAGAACATACAACTGAAATCAGTGTTAGCAACTAATGTTTGTCTTCTTATGTGGAACATACCTGGAAGTTTTCTAACCTATGTCATTCTTTCCAATGCAGGCTGCAACCCACTAAACTGATTTCATGACTGTGAATAGAAAACTCTGCTCTGATTTTGCTGAAGTGGCCATCCGTCTCCTCTTGTCCAGCTTTAAACAGTTACTTAGCTCAGACCCTAAAAGGCAAGACAGCCTCCTTTCCACACAGCGATTAGCCAGGGGCAGCAAGCAAAGCAGGCATCATCCTGGGCAGGGATTGCCCTAGCTGGCCACTTACCTCCCACAGTCTGGCAGGTACCCACACACCTGCAACCACAGCAGGCTGACCAGATCTCTCTTCTGTCCCACCACCTACATCATTTACACAGAATATCTGAACCATCTTTTCTCTACCCTATCCCCCATCTTCCTGCTGTACGAGTCAGGAGTCTCACATATAAGGAAAGGGCAGACAGATTCATGAAGAAATTCTCCCAGTTTTGTAAGCAGCTATACATAGAGCTGGGTGTGGTGGCAGATACCTGTAATCCTGGCACTCCAGGAGGCTGAGGCAGGAAGGTGGCACAAGACTAGCCTGGGCAACTTAACAATTTAGAGATCCTGTCTCAAAAAATAAAAAGCATAAAAGGAGTTGTGTGGCTTACCAGATGCATAGTCCCTATATAGACAGCTTTAAATACCTTCTCCCCAAATCTTATCCCCTGGGGACCCAGAGGCCAAAGGTGAACACCTCAGCTTATCTACTCAGATGAGCTTGGACCCATTCTAGAATCTAGGCACTAAATCTTTCCCCTTACCTTTTATTTAGTCTATCACCAAAATGTATATATTTTAGTTATCAGGCGAACTGGGTACCAGACCTCGTTCTGCCCCTGGATCCCAGGCTTCACTTTTCTGAATGCATTTTCTTCTCTGTAAAGTGAGGCTATTTCCACCCTGCCTTCCCCACAGGGCTGTGGTGAAGACATGTGTGAAAATACCTAAGACACTGTAAAGCACCACACAACAGGGCAAGGTGACACATGCCTGTGATCCTAGCACTGTGGAAGGCTGTGGCAGACACACACACAACACACATCACAAGTTTGAGCCCAGCCTAGCCAGCTTATCCAGACTGTGTCTCAAAAAAAATAAAAAAATAGAGGGCTGGGGATACAGTTCAGTGTGAAGGCCCTTGGGTTAACACCACCACAAACAAACAGACACAACTACCACCACGCAAATACAAATTGTCCTAAAAACCATATACATGCTCTTCTGTAAGAATGGAGAGCCTTGACTCTGTTCCCCAAACAGTGGCGTTGTGCACTCCATGTGCAGTGAAGGCAGATGCTACCCTCAGTCCCTAAACGCACCTGTACTTTATCCTGAGTGCAGGGCTAGCCAGCTCTCCGCTAGGCAGATATCTCATGTCATCAAAAATTCATCAGCTGCAGCAGCTGGTGAATCTACTGTCTCTAGTCATTTGTACCCTCATTCAGAAGACAATGAGGCTAGGGAGAAGTGGCCCCAAGAGTCAACTCAAAGACAGCCTTGTCTCAGCTCTTCAGGTCAATCAAGAAATTAAAGGGCACGTGGAGGTATCAGCCACCTTCTGTCCAGTTAAGACTTTGGAGACCCCCTCTCGCAGAATGATCGCCATGTATGGAGGACTTTCCACACTAGGTCTCGCGCCTTAGAAGAATTATTTCCAGCCTTCACTAGAATCTTCAAGTACCATGTTACTGTTAAGTAACAAACTTGCTCAAAATCACACAGGGCATCAGGGGAACTACAATCTGCTTTTTTGTCATTTAGGTAAAGCAAGAACCTCACCCCCAGCTGACGCTGGGATCCCTCAAGGATGTGGCTGAACTGCTTGCTGGGTCTGAAGTCAACCCTGTGGCCCCAGGACCCCAGAGTGAACCCTTCAAACCAGTGATGGGGACAGAATGATCACAACAGAAAAGAGCATGGGACACTGATGGGAAGCAGGCACCAAGACTGCGGATAGAGAGGGCTCTTCTGGCCACACAACCCAGGGTCTGTGCCCTTCACAAAGAACTGAGGACAATGGTTTCTGAGCTGTACTTTCAGCTGCTCAATGATTAATGAGAATCTAATGTCATTTTTGTTTGGACTCCAAGCTAAAAGGGGAAAGAAGCAGTAAATGTACCTCTCCTGGGCCCAAAATTCCCCAGAGGTTACCCAGTGGATTCAGGCCAGGTCAGAGCACCTTGGCTGGCATTCAAGGCCTTCCTGGTCTTGCCCTAACCAACCGCATGGACATTTCCAGATCTCAGACCTGTCCCAGACAAATGCCCTCACTCTCACCCACTCCTCAGGCTCTGCCCACTCCTCTTCCTGGGGCTCTCCCAATAAGCAATGCCCCTCACTATTCTAGCAGAGCCAAGCACACCCTGTCCAGAGCCAGCCTAGTCCTGTGCCTAAACTCTGCAGTCCTGCTCCTTCTTGGACTCCTACAGCCCCTGGAGCTGTGGTTTTCTGACACAGGCCTGCACTGACATCTGTGATTGGTCTGGATCTCTCTGGCCTCCTCATTTAGATGCAAAAGGCCTTGAAGAAAAGGAGCCCTGGGTTATATTTCTCTGGGTCCTTCACCCATCAGTAACTACAGAAATGACAGGAATTAAACACCGCTGAATTCATTAGGGATGGATGGAGGATGGAGGAAGTATCAGAAGTGATGTGGTTCTCTAGACAGAGGTTCCTGGGCTCTGTGAGCTGGTATTGGAAAGCCAGGCTTTGGCGGAAACATGAGTACAGGCCCAGGAGGAAGATCAGGGCTGATGTGATACCACAGCCACCAGACCCCCAAGCACAGCCCAGCCAGGTGTCTCTGGTCTTGCTCAGACATCTGTAGGAAAGGGTCAGCTATTGTTCATTTCAGCTGCAGAGAGGACTTCCTAGGGGGGTCTCCTAATAGCTGCCCATGGTACACAGCTTTCAGGCACCGCCCAAACATGGACAGGTACACCGCACACGAAGATGGGCATCCAGGAGGTCCCTCACTCAGCCCCCAGCCCCTCGGGGAGTGCTCACTCACAGTTTGAGACTGGTCTCTGCCAGGGAAGAGACAACTCTCACTTGTCACTCGGCCCCCACCCCACTGTCCAAGACAGTGCCGTAAGTGTGGGAGGGCTAAGGACAGACCTACCTGCTCTATGGGGAAGCCCACCTTCTGGGGAAAACTAGCCTCAAATTCCAGCACTTCCTCATCTGTAAGCCACAGCAGACCCACAGCCCCTGCCTATCTTCACACCCTGCTGGCTGCTCTTCTCTGACACCACAGGCCACCATGGGCCACAGGCCATCATGGGGGGCACCTCTTCAGCTGGACACATGGTCCTTAAGGGCTGCAAGCTTGGGGTAGGGGGGCCTGGTCTATAGTACAGCCAGGATGGCAGGGATCTCAAGGGCACCCTTCAGTCTCCATGTGCAGTGAGAGTCAACTGAGGGCCCTGGGAAAACCTGCAGTGTCTAGGCCTCCCGGCACTCCACTCCACCAGGACCCCTTCCTTTAGAATCCCCCAGTCATTCCCAGCTCCCCACGAGGGCTGCGCAGGCCTCCAACCATGGACCGCCATTTCTTCAGCTCCTATGGAGTCTGGAGCAGGGGTTGGAGGGTGCGCCGGGGACTGAACATACCCCTCCAGGAAAGCCCACCTCTACAGTGACTGGGGGGTTAGCTGCTTCCCAGGCAAAGGCAGGTGAAGCTGGGGCTTATAAGTGGCCAATCTAGAACGTGTCCCTCTACGCTGGGGTTCCATTCCTGCACCCTCACCTCGGCTGAAGCCCTCACTTTTCCTTGTCATCCTCCCAGGGCCACTCACCTGTGTCCACTGTTTCAGCCCTACCGACCTGCCTACAGACCTGAGGAGGGGTGTAGACAGGGGACTCCAGAGGGAACAGGACGACCCCTTCTCGCAGCCCTGCTGTCCTCCCTACCCCACCCCACCCCGCGGGCTTGCTACTGTAGGAGGCCAGCCCCCTAGCCCTCCTTGGGGAGTCCTGTGAGATCTCCCGGGCAGCCCCAGTTGTGGCGGTGCGGCGGAAACCGGGAGCCCATCCGGCGGGCCGCCTCCAGATCCTGGCCGTTGGTCCCTCCTCCAGCACGCCCGGAGTGGGGCCAACAGGCAGGATCAACAATCCAGAAACTTTCAATGGATCGCGAGCGGACGGACCAGGAGGGGGGCGAGGGGCACGAGCGCGGTGGGGGCAGGGAGCTCCGGGGCAGCTCGCTCTCACTTACCATCTTGTTCACATCCATGACCGAGGCTGCAGGGCGCCCCCCACCCCGGGAGACCCCGTGTCCCCCGAACGCTGCTCCGGGCTATTGCAGAGCCGGTGCCATGCTGCAAGGAGCACGGCCGGAGTTGCCCCTTAGCCTGGGCGGACAGCAGGA